AATCTCCAACTCTCTTAACAGATTTTCTCATTGAATGTACAAACTACATATTTTATTGGTTTAGACATTGTCAATAAAATTGTCACATATATCAAAAACAGAAAATAAATATCCAAAAAGTTGATATACCTTTTCATCTTCCCACTGAAAAAAATTACAGTCTTTTCTATCTCTACAGGCTGAGCAGGCATAAAACCTCCGGGTTTCTTCTTTCCCTTGCTCACCTTTACAAACAGAAGAGTAGCGCCTAGTTCCAGAAAAGGAAAAAACATGTCAAATAATAGCCATCTACATCAAGTTCCTAGTTTTCACTGCCCTTAAATAAAACTTGTTTTAGTTTTATGCATAATTTATTATAATTAAATCCACCACTGTTAAAAACGTTCTTTTCTTTCAGTCACAACATTCAGGCACTAACTACTTGGAAACAATTTTTGACAACTGTCTCTCCAAAAATAAAATGCTATTGTCAATATAGGTGCTGTCTGAGTAGTGAATGGTACAAACCTGAGACTAAAACAAGGAGGGGCCAAAACTTGAGTACTTTGCCATCTCTTGCATGGTTATTCTTTCAGTGGAAACTTGAGTTTTTAAAGTTGGACACTCTCTGCAAGTTAGGGAAAAACCGAGTCTGGTTGAACTCATTCTATCGTTCTACCTAACTTTTTTTTATTGAAAAGACAGCAAACCAACAAATGAAATCCCTAAGCATTTGTCAACCAGAATTATTCAAGGCACCTTCCTTTTGCCTACTTGCCCCCACCTAAAAGATGTAAAGGCGCTGAAGCCAACACTGCAGTCTGGTGGGAGTAAACTCTCTTCTTGTATGCACCCTCCTTTCATAAGAATATTACCGCAAGATGAGATGACTCTGGAACAACGATTTGATAATATTATAAGTCCGCCACCGCCAGTAGCTGGCAAACAGCTGAAATAGCTGCAGCGGCTGCACTGGATGGAACCACACTCTGCTTCTCAAAGTCACAATCGCAACGCCATCTCTAACTTCTGGACGACGGTTATAGTTGCACATCATACTTGCACACTCATTGGCAGTTATGCATCAGATAGAAAGAAAGAAAATTGTCCCTATTTGAAGATGACATGATTGTCTACACAAAATATCCCAAAGACTCTGCCAGAAAAGCAAGCAAACAAACAAACAAAACCTTCAGTTTAGGCCGGGCATGGTGGCTCACGCCTGTAATCCTAGCACTCTGGGAGGCCGAGGCGGGAGGATTCCTGGAGGTCAGGAATTCAAAACCAGCCTGAGCAAGAGCGAGATCCTGTCTCTACTAAAAATAGAAAGAAATTAATTGGCCAACTAAAAATATATAGAAAAAATTAGCCGGGCATGGTGGTGCATGCCTGTAGTCAGTCCCAGCTACTCAGGAGGCTGAGGCAAGAGGATTGCTTGAGCCCAGGAGTTTGAGGTTGCTGTGAGCTAGGCTGACACCATGGCACTCTAGCCCACACTCTAGACTGTGTCTCAAAAAAAAAAAAAAGATTTAGTACAATCTCAATCAAAATCCCAACCAGATTTTTTGTAGATTTAGACAATATTATTCTGAAACTTGATTTATATGGAGAGGGAAGGGCACTAGAATAGTTAAAACAATTTTGAAAAAGAATAATAAAGTGGGAAAAATCAACCTTCTCAATTCCAAGACATTGCATAGCTGCAGTACTCAAGGCACACACATGTAAGGTTGTATTACATGATAATAGTAATTACATTCAATAGTATTACATTCAATAGATGAAATAGTCAAATGTCTCCTTACATCATTTAAAGAATTGGCAGTGCACATACGTACTTAATGTCCCACATTTAGTGCTATGGCATTTTAATGTAGAAACACTGTTGTTTTCCTTTCACACTTCATGCAATGGTTTCACTCAAATTCTCCACCCGAGCCTGTAGCATCTGTGTCCTTGTTGTGTCCAACACAAGTTTCCAGTGTGTATTACCTGCACTTCTATGTCTTTTGAGATAAGGAATTTTCTGGACCCATGATGATGATCATACTTTTGGAAATTTTATCTCAAGACCTACCCACTCACATGAACACTAGCACTTTTATTTAACAATCTGTTTTATATGTACAAATTTGTGATCTTCCAAAGACTTGTTTATGAAATTTGCAATTGAATTTGTGAAATCATACAACTGGAAATAGTTACAGAATCTACATTTTCTCTTTCTCTTTTAAGTAATGCTGATTCTGTGAGGTCTATAAGCAGCCCAAACCAATATGGATTTGCAGCCTTTTCAGATAAGCTTCCCCAAACAGTAAAAGTATACAAAGATGATTGATCCAACTAAGTAAACAAGACAGCACCTCAAACTGTGAGAGATGTTGAAGATTTCAAAAACAAGGTAATTCCCTTTTTCTTGAAGGATAACTTTGGGGAGAAAAAATATATCAGCTTATATCCAGATATATGCAGTAAACAGCCTATGTTAAACACTTACTGATGGGGTTATGAATATGACCAGTAAGTTATGACTATTTCATTTTATTGCCTAATAGTGTTTTTGATTTGTGCAGAAAAATCCTCAAGTGGAAACATACTGAGAGACTCAGCAGGATTCTGCAAGGAAACCAGAGGCAGAACTGAAAATAGGCCCCTTGAGGCCTGGGCACCAGGATAGATCCCGGTCACACGTCTCTCATCACACGGAGCATGTTCCTAATGCTGCTAAGACCTGCTTGAACGCAGCAACTCTCCCAGTGGAGGGTCTGGGCAAACTGGTGAGCTTCCTATCAGGGTCTGGAAATTTCATCTCTTGACTTTACTAATAGAATAAACGTCTTCTGAAAACCTCCGATGCCCAAGTTCAAGCCAGAGGAGCATTTTGTAGTGGATGCCTGACCATCTTCTCTGTCTTCTGGCAACAGAACCCCAGTTTTCCTTTGGGACGCCAACCCTCTCTGATTTTAGCCCATGTCATTTGAGAGGTACAACGAATGATAGGGACTGGCTTGGATTTGGGCAGGTGACTTGGAGCTTCTGCTGAAATGGCTGAGGAAGAAGGCATCCGTGACGTTGATTTCTCATGGGTGT